GTTATCTCAAAATTGCATCTTAATTTTCTTCCTTATTTAACATTTTAGTGTTTTAGATATTTTATCAAAAAAATTTAATTAAATTGCACAATTTTTTATATATTAGTTTTTATAGTTAAACATAATTATATTAAACAAAAAGTTAAAAGTATGAAATGTTTTTAACAATACTTAAAATATATTTAAATCTGGAACGTAAAATAAAACAATGTTTTCTAAATCTGATAGCAGTATATATACTGCTATCAGATTTAGAAAACATTGGATCCCACATATATATGTGGGATCCCACTCTCTATTTTCTGAAACCATCTGCAGGCACTTCAATTGCAGGATATATGATCACCTATGGAATCAATTTGAGTTAATTGGAAATAAGCAAGTTGTACTGATGTAGGAGTCACTACATACTCTGTATGTAGATACATTCATACGTAAAGAAAAAGAGGTAAAAATATATTTTTTCTTTTTAGAAAAAAAAATTTTTTCGTCATTAAAGTTCTGGCAAAATAATTTGAAAAAAAATTATTAAAAAAAAAAAAAGATATTTTAAAACAGTTTCTAATCAATGCCAAGTCAGCCATAAGATTTAGCTAATAAATCTTATGGATGTAGCATTTCTTCACAGCAAAATCCTAAATCTTAGTCCATAGTTTAAGAATTTTAGTTCTTAAAAGAGAAATATTTATCTCGATTTAAGAAATAAATTTCCTATCCCCCAATTTGTTTCTTTAAACAAGAAATATATTTCTTGTTTTAAGAAATAAATTACAGTGTAAGAAGTTTTTTTCTTGTTTTTAGATTTACAGCAATATTGTTAATCTTGTGTTTACAGTTTAAGAAGTATATTTCTTGTTTTAAGAAATAAATTACAGTGTAAGAAGTTTTTTTCTTGTTTTTAGATTTACAGCAATATTGTTAATCTTGTGTTTATAGTTTAAGAAATATATTTCTTGTTTTAAGAAATAAATTGTTGGATGGGAAATTTATTTTTTAAAACAAGCAATATATTTCTTGTTTTCAAACTAACTTTTATTATATTATATTAATAATGTTTTTATTGTTATTTTTAAACTGATAGTTTTGCTCGTGGTCTACCATTTGATGAATATATTTATGGTCCATTATATCAAGAACACAAGATATGATCATAATGTTAATAGACCACTGATGCTGATTCAAAGTTAAGGCGAGTTTCCAGTCATCTGTTTTTTAACGGGAACGGGATAGGAAAGGAAAAAATAATCACGTGAGCATGCGTAATAAAAGTTTTTATTTGTCCGAAAGAAAACTGCGCATGCTTACGTGATTCTTTTTCCGTTCCCTTTCCCTTTCCCGTAGAAAAACGGATGAGTGGAAACTCACCTTTAAAAACAAAATTTTTAAAGCATTTGAAGTTTTTATTATAAGCATATAAAGTGTTTGTGCAAAAGCTTATACAATAATATGTAAGCTTAAAAAAATTTAAAAAGAAAGAATAAGTTTATGCAAAAAATGAAATAAGGCTCACAATATATGCTTATCTTTCTTAATTCCACAGATTTTAATTTATAATCTATCTCATGATTATGTAATTTATTTTGTGTTTTAGGTATATGTTTGACTATAATATTTTATTTGCTCTAAAAAGCATATATATAATATTTATATATATTATATATTTATATAATTTTTTATTTAACTTTTTTATGCAATATTTAGTGCAACAATTTGTGTCATTAATAATAGCTAAATATATTTATGTCATTAATTTGTTTTTGTAATTTTTTTTTTATCATTTAAGGAATACATTTTTAGAATAAGAGTTTTTTGTAAAGTAAATTTTGTGCTTTCTACGGAAATTTCTGGCAGCAGATTTTCCAGAAATTTTCCATTATTTTACAGAAAAATCAGTCACTTGTTAACGGAAATATCTGTTATATGATAGATAGTATCCGTAATTTATGCGGAAATTTCCTTTAACACTTCATTTTTCCGTAAAATAACGGAAACTTTCTGGAAAATTAGCTGCCGGAAATTTCCTTAAAAAACGCGATATTTTTTAACAGTGTATGTGGTAAAACCAAAAATTGGAAAAAGGTTAAGCAACTGTCCTGTCTGGCGGTGAAGAGCTTAAAGTTGCTCAAAATATAGTTATACTTTGAAAAATTTCTAATTTGACACGTATGTCATAACCAAGTAAGAGACGAATGATCGTAGGTTCATAATGTAAAATCATTGAGAAGATGTCTGAAACCGTGTTTAAGGTTATTACAGTAAAATATACTGACAAAGTGGCATAAAGCACGCATTGGTATCAAAAACCAAAAAAGGGTTTTTATGACACAGATGTCAACAATATTTGCTTGATCCTTCAAGTGTTATAGTGCTTTTGCAATTCGTTTGGATTTTTTGTTTTTTGTGTTATTTAATAATCTAGTTTTGAATAGTTTATTAAATAAAATACTAAAACTCTAAACGAACTTGAGATGGCAAAATTTCGTGGCCATTCAGCAAATAATTTTGTAGGATAACTGATATGTATACTATACATATACTGATATGTAGCTGTGTCGCTTGCTACTATATTACAAAAATTCTATGACTACTAGGTGGCTATAGCCACCTATCTTTATATTTAGATTAATATATTTAGGTTACTATAATTTACATAATATAATAATTATAGTAACAATAATAATATTAATAATAATAATAACAATAACAAAAATAATTATAATAGTAATAACATAGTATAATAATAATTTAGCATATGACGTAAATATAAATAAGTAAATAGTAATGAAGGGTAATAAGGAGCAAAGTAAGACACTTAAGCACTTGTTAATTTAATACGGCCCTAATGTAACAAGTTTTGAAAAAGGAACCAAAATTTTTTTTAAGTCTTCTAACATCCTAATGTAATACAAAAAAAAAAAAAAAATTAGTTGCAGAACTGCAATCGTTAGGTTTCTAGAGATAATTTATTGAGGACACCTATTCTCATGGTTAAGTTTCTAGAGATAATTTATTGAGGACCTCTATTCATTTTTTTATTTCAAAGTAACTCGTCATTTATTTCCTAACACTAAATGATTTTAGAACACAACTTTTAAAAATCTTTAAAACAACGATTAATGTGATTAGCATCATGATAAGTGCAATCTTTCTCATTTTTTTTCTCTGTGTCATTATGCCCCGCATTATACTTATGAGAATTTTTACTAGCTATTCAATAGGTTTTTTTAGCTAGGGTCCTCGTCACCAAACCGCTGTCTTTTTTATTGTTTAATTTATTTCGCC